GGAACCGGAAACCCATGAGGGGCTCTGTGGTCTCTGCTCTGGTGTGGTAGGTGTCTCCTAGGGGTCTGGGAAAGGGGATTACTCTGACATCCCAACGGTACGTTATTTTAGACGCAAATGGACTGTACACAGGCTCACCTAAAGTAAACATGGATCTTTGTCAAGGAAGCTACAGGCCTAGGGTGTGACTGTCTACTTGCTTTTAGTTAAGAATTTTTATGTTCAGACCATCTGAGGTGGTTACCTTTGGTCTCTGAGACTGTAGGGCCCACCCTGCAGGCCTCCCCTGAGCTTGTCAGGGCTCGTGTGGGGCCCCTCTTTTACCCACACTCTCATGAAGAGTCAATAAGACGGTGCAGGTGAGCAGCAGGCCTGCACAGGGGCTCAGCAGATGGCATCTGTTATTTTTTTGTAGGGTTTTAGGGGGCGTCTTGGGAGTGCAGCCTGAATGGGTGGCTGGGGATGAACAGGAGACAGACACGAGGCAGACAGTGACTCTGTTGTGTGATGAGCCCTGTCCTGTTGCTCTGAGAGCTTGGAGAAGGAGCCCTAACCCTGCGAGGGGCTGCGTGGGGAAGGGGCCCAGGGAAAGCTGCCCAGAAGGCGGCTCCAGGGGCCTTGCAGGCGCACAGAAGACTGGGGAGGGAGTCCTGGGCTGTGGGTTCGGCAGGAGCAAAGGCAAGGGGGCAGGAAGGAGCTTGGTGAGTTGGCGCGTGCGGGTCATTGGGTGAAGCTGGAATGTGGGTGCTGTGGCCAGGTCATAGAGCATCTTGTAAGTCACCAATGAGACTGACCTTTCCCAGAGGGAAGCTGCCCAGCCAGTGAAGGGTTGTGCAGAGAATGGTGTGAACAGATTCTCATTTTGGAAAGGTTTTCCTGGCTGCCCTGTTGAGTCAGGATAGGAGAGTGTAGGAATGGGCGCAGGGAGACTCCTGGGTCTTTCCTAATAATCAGGGTGGAGGCCCCATTTGGCACAGTGGCCATGGAGAGGAAGTCAGGGTCCAGAGGTATTTGGTAGCAAGCCAGCAAACGGCACAACCAGGATCTGCCTCTTCCTTCCACACCAGAAGGCCCCACAAATAACCTGGGCCTGGTGAACTTGGCCTTTTGAGCCTCAACTCACCTGCAAAGCTGCCTTTCATGAACTAGATGCTGGGGGACCCTGTTTATACTTCATGGGGCAGACACATGGCTGACCCAATGGCGCTCTGTGGTGGCCTCAGCTCGGGCCTGGCACAGTGGCCTCCCCTGAAGTACCAAGTGTGAAGCTGCCCAGCCAGTGTGCTCATTAAGTTCTGATGCTGTCTGCATGTCTGCATGGGTGGGTCCTGGCTCACAACTGGCCTCCTTGTCTTTGTTGTGTGACGTGACAAGTTTCTTCCTGCTGAGAGCCCCGATCTCCTCATTTGTCAGCAGGAAGATGCTTCCTGCTTCAGCTCAGGCCTGGCACACAGTAGGGTGCAGTATAGCCGGCACTGCTACATCTGATCAAGAGACACAAACGTCTGAGAAACTTTCTACCGACTCTGGGGTGTCCCCTAACTCCAGCACCTGGTTCTGACCCACTCAGTGTCCCCTGCCCCAGTCTGGCCCTCCCTGGTGGGGCCCACTTGCTCCCTCGTCCCCTGAGAGGCAGGGCGGGGGCACTGCTGGCAGCACACCTGGGTGCTTCTGGCTCCACCTCTGTCATTAGACACAGAGCCTTTGGCCAAGGCACTTGCGCTCGTGAGCCTCAGTTTCCTGGCCTGGAAAATGGGGCCGTGACTCCTGTTTCCTCCAGGGCTGCACGCGAAGGGGCGATGCATACTGTGGTGTGCTGTTGAAGGCCTGCTCCGGGCAGCTGTGCTTGTCCCACAGCGGTGTCCCCTCTGGTCCCCTCGGCTCTTAGAAGGCAAGCTGAGCTGGGGTGGGAATTTGGCAGGCAGGGAAACCTTTCCAACTGCTCTCAAACACCCATATGGGCTCCCCCTCATCTCCCTGCCTCCCCTGGAAGATTGGGGGTGCTTTCCAGCGAGGACATGGCCAGGAGACGCAGACCCTGCCTCCATTCCTCTGGAGAGGTGAGGCCAGGTATTTCCAAACACCTCCTTTTGAGCAAGAGTTTTGATCTGTGGCATCTTGCCAAGGTTTTGTCATTCTTTCCTGACAAACAACAGACTCTGTTTCATAACCTCCATTATTAACAACTAAGTGTACACAGTCGTTCACAAACAGCAAATGCCAGTCAGTGCTTACCACTGTCACCTGAGAGCCCTCCTGGCTTTCCTCCAGCCTCGAACACCCGGCTCCTTGGTTGGAAGGCTGAACCACACCTGGCCACCCCCACTTATGCTTCAGCTCTCCCTTCAGGGATCCCCCCCTTGGGCAAAGCACACCTGACACTGCCAGCGTCATCCTCTGCTGGATGCTCCCCCAGAATTTGGCCCCTCCAAGCTTGCATGGTGGAGACAGGCTCACTGGATAGTGGATTGCAGTCACCTCTGCCTCTCTCCACACAGGCAACCTTCCTGCTGGCGATGTACGGACAGCCCAGCTCCTCCGGGTCCCCAGAGCCTGGCGCTAGACAGATGCTCCGTAAACTCTGATGAATAAGTGAATGAACAGCAAAACGAACTTCAGGCAGGCCAGCCCCTCTCTTGTCTATATCTGGTCTACTGTCTTTAAAATTTTTTTAATCTTATTTTTAAAGATTTTATTTATTTATCTTTAGAGGGGAAGGGAAGGAGAGAGGGAGAGAAATATCATGTATGGTTGCCTCTCGGGGGTCCCCTGCTGGGAACTGGCCTGCAACCCAGGCACGTACCCTGACTGAGAATTGAACCGCGATCCTCTGGTTCACAGGCCCACACTCAATCCACTGAGCTACACCAGCCAGGGCTGTCTTTTTTTTTTTTCTTAAGTGACAGTGTTAAGAGTCGAGGATGGGCTGCTGAAGACATGGCTCCATGTGCAGCTCCCAAAGTGTCCCCGCCCCCTTGCCAGGTGGGAGCTTCTGTTATCATCTCTGCAGGTGACTGCTACCGGCCCCGCTTGACTCGAGGCGTGCTCTGTCTGCCAGGTCTGGGATTCAGAGTCGCTGGAGGCCGCACCTGACCCCCTTGTTTCAGTTGTATCTGGGTGGATTCTCTGGGATTGGATTTTGGGAGGAAACTAGATGAGGCTGTGCTCCTGGTGGGTAATTGGCTGTGTGGGTGGTTAGAAGGGCAAGGGTCAGGGGTCAAGTCCATAAACCCCTTGTTTTTAGGCAGGAGGTTGTGAAGGTAGAAGTGAGGCAGTATGAGCTTTTGTCATAGGAAAAGGTGGGCCCAGCAAAACCAGGGAAAGGGTCCCCCCAACCCCAGTGAGCATGCCCTCCATAGCCTGCCAAGGACTGTGGGAAATGGCTCTGGGGTGCCCGTGGGCCTCAGAGTTCCCCAGACAGGGCTGAATCGGGGGCAGCTGCTCAGAGGGTGGCCCCGCAGTGCCACATGGGTGGTGGGAAAGCCCGGGGCGTCTGGGCTGTGGAGCGGCCTAGGACTTCTGCCTGACCACCAGCCCCAGGCCGTCTCCCTGATGCTGCCACAGCAGCTTCTCTTCTCGCCAAACTGCTCAAACATCCCCTTAGCTGCGCAGTGCCTCACAGCACTGGCTACCAGCATTTCATTTCATTTAGTTTGCTTTTTATAGCATCAGAACCCATTCAGACCTGCATGGGAAACCATGAATGATGGTTTCCCTGCCACAGAGGCAGGGCCTGGGCGTGCCAGGCCCTCACACAGCTCACCTGAAGACCCCTACCTTCCCAAGTCTCATCATTTTCTTGCTAAAAATAGGTCCTGGGAAATCTAGAAACTTCCTATAAACTGGAGAAAATGAAATCACAGACTCTAAGGGCAGGAAAGGGGCCAGAGCCTGGCTTCTTGGCAGAAAAGCTCCTGGACAGTGGTACCTGCTAAGGTTTCCAGTCTCTGGGGAGGGCAGTCAGTCCCTGGGCAGCCAGTGTGCTAATGACTTACAGGGAGAGCCTCTTTCACAAAGACATTGGACCACTCACTCCTGGGGACATCGCCTGGTGGATGGCACTCCTATGCCCTGTGGACTGAAGGACAGACAAGCAGCTCATGGGCAGAGATCCAGAGCCGAGGGCCAAGCCGCCCAGGGCCAGAACTTCAGGAATGCTGGTGGCCACTGGCCTGGCCCAGCTGGAGAGCAGGGGGCAGGAAGGGGAGGGGGCAGGGTAGAGCAGCCCGGACTCCCAGACCCTGTTCGATGACTTCATTGCCAGCCAGAGTCAACCCACAGAGCCAGTTTGATGGCTTCCTCCATTCATTCCATGGCAAGCTTGGCTCCACTGGGTGCAGTCCACCCAGTAGCGCAGGTGGTGGTCCCGACTGCACTGCAGGCACCAGGTGGCCCAGCTTTTGAGAAATACAAGCCATCTCTGGCCAGCTGCTGGGTTGCAAAGTGGGGTCAGAGGTTGGGAGCTGACCTTCAGCTGTCCCCTTGGGAGACACAGAAATGGAGGAGACACTGGATGCTTCTCTGAGAAGCGAGTCAGAGCCTGAGATGCGTGCCCTGGGACGGCAGCACGTTCTAGCTCATTCCAGCACAGTCCAGCTTACTCTGGCTCCGCTTCCGTGCTGCCTCTACTCTGAGGCACAAAGAACCCAAGCTGAAGGTCAGCTGGATCACAGCAGGTGGGGAGGGGACAGGGGCCACCGGGGAATCCCCTGGAGACTCAGGCTTCGCCCACTCAGCTCTGTGCAAGGCTAGCATGGCCTTTTCTCCTGGTGGTTACACTTGCTGGGTCTTGCTCTTCATTTCTGACTTTCCCTCCAAAGGCAGAACAACCCTAGAGGGGCCTGGATGCTCTTCCGGAAGTGACTCCCTCAGCCCTACCCTGTCCCTTGACCCAGATGCCTCTAGCTGGCCCTGCCCATTTCCACTTAGCCCCTTTGTGTGGAGAATTCTGCCTCCCTGCTCTTAGGGCCTGAGGCTGTGCTCCCTGCAGGGCCAGCCCCCAAACCTGGATGCCAGGCGTGGCTGAGCCCTGAGACAGATGGACCTTGTCAAGCAGACTCAGGGCCCCTTCTGCAGGCAGGTTCTTTCTTGGGGTTCTCGTTCGCAGTCTTTCCAAGCAGGGGATAAGATGCTCATCTGAGTCCACTGGGTGTCCCCTTCCTGCTTGGCCACTGTGCCAGGTGGTCCCGTGAGGAGTTGAGATGGCCATGTAGGGTGAGTACTCTCTGCACTCACCTCCAGCACCACCCTGCCTGGGAGGGTAGGGGACAGGGAGTGGGGGGACAAGGGGGTTGGAGGGCACAGGCACAGAGGCACACCCAGGGTCTTTCTTCATTGTGCTGGGGGCGGTCCTGTCTCCTCGAGAGCCCAAAGCTTCTCCTGGGAGGCCTTGTCAGGGAGCAGCACCTCCACGGTGTAGCTGACCTTCTTAGAGTGCATCAGGCTGTAGGTGTTGTCAAAGCGCAGGACATCTGCAAGGATGGAGAAGTAATCAGGCAACTTAATCCCGACCCCTCTGAGAACGTGGCACCCTTGGGAATCAGCTGCCCAGGACTGTGGGTGGGGCTGGAGGGTCAGCCACTGCTCAGCTCCCAGCCTATTACTCATGGCCATCTCTTTGCATGTTGCTTGAGCTCAATAAAGGATTAATGATAGCCACCAGCATGCATCTGCCCTTCCTAGGTGCCAGGCATTACATCAGTACTCACAGCTCCCTGAATCCTCAAAGTAGCCCCATGGAAGGTACCATCATCTGTGTTGTATGAATGAGGAAACTGAGGCTTAGAGAGGTTGATGTGACTTTCTGATGATTACAGAGCAAGGGAGGGGAAGGACTGAGATTCCCATATCCCAGTGCTCCAGAAGAGAGGGCTGAGCTCCATAAAGGCGCTTTTTCATTGTGCCTTTCACAGAGGGCATGTCCTTCAACGCCAAAGGTCAACATGAACGCTGGGTCACAGTGAGTCACCCAGTTCCTGTTTCCACTCTCCTAATTCTCCCTTTCCACAAAGATAAACCAGGTATGTATTAACTAAAGCATTAGCAAAAAATCATTCTCCTCCTCCAGAGGAAATCAAGCTTGGGTTCCCCCTTCTAGGTCCCCTTTCGACAGAGGTGGGAGGTCTGTGATGCTCCCATGCAGCACTGTTCCTGATAAAACCGACCAAACTGTAGCTGGCCTGGGCGGCCTGGGCGGCCTGGGAAGGAAGGACAAATCATCTGTTCGGGATGCCCAACGTACCTGGGCGGTTTGGGACCCCTAAAACTAATCTCATGCTGTTTATTTACCCAACTCTTGGCCTGCCCAGTTCAGTGTAGAGGCTTCCCAGGAGCTGAACCCATGGCCCCAGGCTGTGCATCCCACCCCACTCTCTACACTGAGTCTGCCTTGTATCCTCACCTATGGCTACTCATCAGATCCAACACCTGGAGCCAACTCCCCTGGCACCTCTGGCATCTAGGAGCTTGCACAGACTCCCACACCCTCTCCGAGGGCTACAAATAGAGGGCAAAGGGAGAAGCCAGACTGGCAACACGTGTCAGCTCATTTCTTTGCTAGGAGAGAAAAATGACTCTAGTGAACCCTGACGCTCTTACAGATGCCAGCCTTGAGGCAGGTGAGGCTGCCGTCCTCGGGCACCAGGTGGGCGTTGTAGCGCTGGCTGGGCAGCACCTCCGTCATCTCCTCCACTCGCTGCTTCTGTCCTTTCTTGGTCTTCAGGAAAACTCCAAAACCGATGTCTGACCCATCTGATGCAAACTGCCACCTGCAGGGGACAGGGCCCCACTGATGACCACCTGCCTGGGCTCCAGGTTCCTCCCAGCTGTACTCCGGTGTGAGTGGCCTGTGTCCCTACCTGAGCACACAGCCCGGGAACAGGATCTCATTGTCCACCTGCAGGGAGGAGCCACGGCCAATGGTCACCGTGTGATCGTACTGCATCCTCACCTGGTTTTGCAAGTAGTACTTCTTGGGCACCTCGCCTCCGTGGTTGATCTGTGGGTAAGGGTGGGTGAGTGAAACCACCAGTTACCCCTCCCCCCCATTGTCTGGGCACCCTGTACCTTGGTCAGGCACTTGGGATTGCCATCAGGGTCGGTCATGGTCCCCCCATACTCCATGGGCAGCTGGTCGGGGCTGATGAACTTCAGCAGCTCCTGCTTCCAGTTGCCTGTGGGAGCAAGAGAGAGGCCCCGTCGGGGCTCAGGCTTTGCCTCTGAAAGGCAGAGGGGGCCAAGCCCTGGGAAGGTGCCTGATGTGCCCTTGGCTTGCTCTCCTGGGTGCCCACTCATGAGATCGCCCAAGAGCTATACACAGCCACCTAGGTTGGGGTCTAGGGCTCAAAGCCTTGTCTGAGTGTGCAAAGGCTGCTGGGAGTCAGAGTAAGGAGAGAGAGCCAGGGAGAAGTGGGGCCTTTAGCCCTGACCGCTGCTTCCTAGGCCGATGAGCACAACCAGAAGGCCATGTCACTTACCTCCCAGAATCACTATCTTCTTTCGAGTCTCCTCACTTATGAATGGCTTGACCAAGTTGAAGGCCACAGGGAACAGCTTAGGGGCTGAAACACATGAAATTCCCTGGGGAAGCTGGACCGGAGAGGACTTGGATATAGAAGTCACACTCAAGGGCATGGGCTAGACAGGAAGTAGACAGATGGAGATTGTGACTCTTCCTGCTCTGTGGCCCTCAGCCGGTTACTCACCCTCGCTGAGTCTCAGAGCTATTAATGACAACTACAAGGTGGTGGTGGAATCTAACGGTGTATGCCTCACACTTGGCACAGTGCCAGGCTTTCAGAAGTGGTTGCTTTCCTTATTCAGCCGGAGGGCTTCAGTAGCATTGATTCCCCAAAGTTGCCTCTTCCTTTCCACTCTCAAGGTTTTCCCAGGTTGCCTTGGGATCCTCTTGGGTGCAAGTAGGTGGGGCACCTGCCTTAGAATGCATGTCCCACCTGAGTCACGCCGACTTGCTGGGCCATTTCTGTGTACCACCAGGCTCTGTACTATGCCTTCTCCACAGACTATCTCCTTGAACCTCACAACTGTCCTAAGAGGAAGATGCCACTGCATCCCTATTTTACAGAATGGGAAAACTGAGGCCCAGTGAGGTGCAATAGACTTGTTCAAAGTCACAGAGCTAGTTAGACAGGAAGCCGGATCAGCCGGCCCAGAGCGCATGTGGTGACCACCTCACTACGTTGCTGTCATGGTCAGGGACCACTCCTGCCCACAGTGAGTCCACCAACCTGTGCAGTCCGTGGACCACATATTACCAGTCCACACCCAGATAAGTAAAGAAAATAACAGCACACATTTAGAAACTTACAACTTATTTGACATTACTGCACAGGCATTTGTATATTCCAAAAGTATCAATCTGTGAAGGATTCAGCTAAAACACACACACACACCACACCCCAAAACCAAACCAACCAACACAAGAACCCATTCTTCACAGAGGATGGGTTGAGAAACCCTGAATTCAGTGGCTTACCCACTGCCCATCCCCTGCTCCCCACTCCTCCCTCACCGCCCAGCGAATCCTCACCTCGAATAACAATTAAATGCTTCACCGTCTCGGGATAATTTGCATCCAGGAGGACAAAAAACTGTAGAGTCAAGGAGAGTCAGGTTTAGGCCATACTGTGATATTTCTGCCTGGCTTTGGTGGCCTCTGAGGCTGCTGAGACAAGAATCCCCATCCCCCTACACCCCATCTGCCCATAAGCATGTCCTTTGTCCTCTTTCTCCTTGCAGAAGGTACCAGGGCCAGCTCCACTGGCTGCTCTGTGGGACCCCTGGGTGGGGGCACACTCCCCTCCTCCATGGTCTGAAGCTTGTGTGGGCAGCGGCTCCCCAAAGGCCTCGAGCCAGCTGCTTACTTTACCTGCTGGTAGACGTCCATGGCTGGCTTCCACAGGTGTTTCAGGCTCAGCCCCTGCATGTCAGCCACCATTACCATTGTCTCTATCTTCCTGCCCAGCTGCATGGGGCAGAGCAGGTGTACAGGTCAGACAACAGCTCCAGCTGGGAGATACTGCCCAGAGAGACCTGGCCAGAGCTTCCTACCTTCCTACGCCCCCCCCCCCCCCCCGCACTCCCAGCTGCCCACAGTGTTTTCCAAACAGAGACATTTATCTAGGGTCTGCATTTAAGCCCTGGTACAGTGGCCCTTATCACACAATTTGTTCAAAACTATTGCCTGAAATTGGCTAACCCTGGAATTAAAATCATTGTTCCTCATTCACTGGGCTCCTTGGATACAATGTTATACCATGCTGGCCACTGTCTGCAGTCCCGTGGCTGTGTCCACAACCCAAGCTGCGCTGTCAGCAGGCTGTGTGGCTCTGGGTGGGTTTCTAACTCTCCAAATCTTACTTTTTTCCCCCTCTGTAATATGGGGATAATTCCAGGCTCTGATAAACTCGCTGTGAATCTATGAGCCTAGCGCCTGGCACATGGCTGGTCCCTAATGAATATTAACAGCTATTGTTAGTAGTATCATCATCACCATAATTATTGGCTCCAATGGAGACATCACTACCACGGAAGACACTGTTTTGAACCTTTAGCATCAGCCATCTTGTTTGACAGGCATGTACCTATTCAAACCAGGCACTAAATACAGTGCTTTGCAATTCTCTCCTGCTTGGCAAAGATCTCTTTGGTGTCTAGTACTGAGCCAGAGGCTGGAGACCGAGGCTGGGTCCACGTCATTTGGAGTCAGCCATCCGCCCAATCATCCCACAGTCAAATAGCTCCCTCTGGGGGTCAGTCTTCTTCTTAGGCTCATTAGACACTTAGATTCATAAAACCAACAAGGCATTCGATTTACCCTGAAGGTTACAGGCCAGGGAACACAGAGGCAGGGGCAAGAAGATCTGCAAAGGTGGGGTGAGCCCTTCTGGGCTTAGAAGCCCAGTGTCCCACAGGACTTCATATATATGTTTAAAGATTTTATTTATTTATTTATTTTTTAGAGAGAGGAGAAAGGAATGAGAAAGATTGATGTGTGAGAGAAACATCAGTTGCCTCTCACATGCCCCCAACTGGGGACCTGGCCTGCAACCCAGATATGTGTCCTGGCTGGGAGTCAAACTGGCAACCTTTTGGATCGCAGGCCAGTGTTCAGTCCACTGCACCACATCAGCTGGAGCAAGGACTCCACAGTTTTTTAAAGCAACTCCATAGTAGCTTCTAGGGACCCACAAGGGGATGTGTCCAGTTTCTAGGGTCAATGGGCTCTGGGACATCCAAAGTAACGGCTCCACCATCAGGTAATTACAGTCATGCAGTTTATAATCACAGGACATCTTTTCCACAAGCAAAGTTGACCACCCACTGTTCCCAGGGTTCCTGGGGAACAGAAGAGGGCATTCACTGCACCCAAGGTCAGCATCTCACTTAAGGTCAAAGGAGAGGGCAAAGGGCTTTGGGGACCCTTGGCTCATGCTCGCAGAGAGGGCCATGCCCATGTTGATGATACTACTAACAATAGCTGGTGGGAGACTGCAGGAGAAGCCAGGTTTCACCAGAGCCTGGAATGCTGAGGGCTGGGGGGACGCAGGGGCAGGGTACCTCCCCTTCCCAGTCCTGGCACCACCTTTTAGACACACTGGGCCTAGCACAAGCCCTTCCCCCCACCCCACCCCTTTAACACTCCCCGACCCTGGCCCTGGCCACTCACCTTCTGGCTCTGCAGCTCACACTCACGCGAAATCATCTCACAGATCTTGATACGGTTCCGGATGAGCTCCTGCTTGGATGCTGACAGAAGGAGGCCCTTCGGGTCACTGTTACCAATGATTTCGAACCACAGGGGGCAGCCATCATAGTCGTAGCCACACAGACTGCCTGAGTCGTACAGCTTGATCACCTGGGGTGAGGTCCTGATTCAAACCAGCCCACCAAGCCACGTCCCTTCCCCATCAGGTGGCGGGACATGGTGGTGGGGAGTGAGGTGGGGGTTACCAGATGGCCTGGGGGATGCTTCGTGAGGCTTACTTCTGAGGGCTGCCACTCAAGGATATTTTCCAGGTCCTGTTGCTTCCGGAACTCCAGGTGCTGCAGAGACAGGGCAGGACCTGCAGACTGCCTGCCCCAAAGGTCCCCCGCCCACGGCCACCAGATCCTGCCGAAGCATCCCCAGCCTCTACCAACATGGAACTGGGCATGGAGACACTAGGAAGAGGACTGTGAGGGACCTGGTTCCAATGCAGAGAAAGGGTCCAAGGAGGAGAAGAAACGTGACAATGGGACAGGACAAGGGTCCCCACCCTTTGTTGCCAGTCCCTGGAGTAGAGTGTGAGGGAGGCATGAGAATGGGGCCTCACCTTCCGGATCATGTTCTCAGATTTCTTCAGGTCAAACTTCTGAGCTACAAGGAGAGTCGAGATGAGAGGAGGCTTGAGGCCAGATCTAGAGCAACCTATTCTCTGAAAAGTCATGAGGCAATGACGGGGTACCCTGATTTTCCTGACACCCCAAGGACACAACGGGGAGGAAGAGTTGGTTAAAATGCAACGATACTTAATTCTTGAGAAGATTTCGAAGGGCCCTTGACTTCAGTTTCCAGGCCTTTAAAAACTATTCTAAATGCTGGCCTAGCCTGTGATATTGGACACGCCGCTGGGAGCAGAGGTCCCCTGGGTGGTAGGGGCGGTGCAGAGCACAGGCTCTGGAGGGGCAGGCCGATTTGGGCTCCAAGCCTCATTTTGTCCTTTGATTTGCTGTGCAGTGCTGAGCAAGTCACTGAACTTCTCTGAACCTTAGTTTTTAAATCCGTTAAATGGGAATCGTTTCTTTTTCAGAGTTATTCAAACAATAGCATGAGCCAACGTGCTTGGCACATTACTTCGTTTGCAGGTAGTGCCCAATACCTGACAGATGTCGTTGTGATTACCAATTTTAAAGAACTAAGCCATCTTTGATTGAAAACATAACGCTTGCTCTAGTTTAGAAACTCAATGACTGTTGCTCTCTGAGACCGCTGGTTCCCTGAGGAACGTGTCCAGCGATGGGCCTTCAATAAGATCCAGGAGCAGAGACTTTTCAAATGGAAGACCTGATCATGAACCTTCAGGAAAATACCACGGAGGCCACTGGTTCTGTCTTTTTTTTTTTAATCCTCACCTGAGGATTTTTTTAAAAAATTGATTTCAGAGAGCAAGGAAGGGAAAGAGACAGGAACAGAAATGTCAATAGGTTGCCTTTTGTATGTGCCCCGACTGGGGATTGAACCCACAGCCTAGGTGTGTGCCCTGACCAGGAATCCAACCCGCAATTTTTTTGGTGCGTCCAACTGATTGAGCTACACAACCAGGGCCACCAGCTCTGTCTTGATTATCAAGTTCAAAATCCATTGTATGGGGTATACTGAGTCGAAATAAATTTCTTCGTAAGTTGTGGGGTGGTTTCTGTTATTACAATCATTTTACACTGTTTCAGCAATTCCTAGAAGACACTCCTCCATCCTTAATTACATCTACTTCCTGAAGTGTTTGCTGGGCACCTGCTTGGTACTGGGTTCTCTGAGGAGACCACACAGCCTTGTCTTCGAGGAACTGGGGACCCAATTAGACCAAATAGACCCAAAGGCAGGTCCTGAAGACTATGTTCAGTGATACCTGATTCAGGCCTGGTCAGGCCTGTCATCCTGAGAACTTCCCAGGTGTTACCTAACTTCACCTGGACCCTGGACCCCCCCTGGTGCTAAGCACTACACCTCTAACGACAGCCAATGGGGAGGTGCCATGCAGGTTTGAAGGGGAGCTCAGATTCTAGCCCAAAGTGGGCTGATTCCAGAGCCCACACTCTTTACCACTCTGTGGCCCTGCCCCCCCAAAGCCCCCCACACCTTTTCCTGAGATCCCCACAGCCTCACCTCGCAGCCAGCGCAGGAGGAAGTAATCATCAGCCTTGGGCAAGGTGGGCAGCAGGTCCTGGAGGCTGTCCCGGAACTGAGGGGGCGATACGGTGTTAGATGGGCTCCCAAGACCCCCAGGACCCCCAATCTCGTCCCTGAATCTCCCCACCCTCAGTCAGCTGTCAGCAGTCAGTCCTGCCCAGGGATCCTGCAGAGTTGGGGACTGCACAGTTAGCAGCAGCTGCCTGGGCCATTTTGCCACCTGCGGATGGGGCACACCTACCCCTTCAGCTCACCATGGTGGGAAGAGTTGTGTCCTTCTCCAACTTTGGGGGATCTCCACTTCCCAAAACCCTCACTCTGTAAGTCTGAGGTGGCAGCCCTGCCATTGCCATTTTTGTGAACATCCATGGTGAATTTGGTGCGAGCCAACCAGAACATTTTAGAAACACTGCCCCTGATACTGCATCTTGAGGGTTCAAATTTTGAAGCAAGTTACTTAACCCCTCTGAGCCTCGGTTTCCTCATCTGTTAATGATAAACTTGTGCCAATCAAAGGGGTTTGTACAGGGAAAGCACAGCACCAGGCCCAGCTTACAGCAGGTGCCACATAAATGTGAGCACACAGCAAACACGGACTGCCCGCAGCCCTGGACAGCAGAGTCTGTGGAATAACCCCTGGCAAAGGTCAGCAGAGAGAGCTGAAAAAGAAGTCAGAGCTGCCCCATCAGGGCTGGGCGAAAGGAGGGCGGCCGACCCATGGGGGGTGCCTTTGCCTTCCGGTAGAGTTTGGGGAACCATCTGGGAGTCTGGGTTTGGAACTGAGGCTCAAGTGTGAGATAAGAAAGGAGACACCAGTTCCATGGGGATGAAGGGAGCTGAAGATAAGGCCTGGAGGGCTGGATGTGCAGGGGAACCCACGACTGAGAATTTGGGATTGGAGACAGATGGCAGCAGAGCCCCAGGAAGCTGTCTTGATGACCATCCCCCAAACCATCTTTCGCTTTATGGATGACATCTAAAATAAGAATGCATTCCTGTATTGGTCCTGTAATTAAAGAATGAATAATCAGCTTAAACATCGCCATTGTTCATAACCTGAGCAGCAGCATCTGCTATAATGATCACCAGCTGGAGATTATCATAACAATAAGCTAATAATCACCAGGCATCTGAAATGGAGCTTCTGGTACCTTGTACAGCTGTAGCCTCTGGGATCCTGAGGAAGCTTCTTTGGGGAGGTGGGGGGCGATACTATCGGAGAAACAATAACCCCACACCCCTCAGCCTCTCCAGGTGACCAGATTCCCTCCTTGGAACCTCAGGATGTGCCCTGAGGCAGGTGGAGCAAAGGTCACATCCCTGCTTGGCAGGTGAGGAAACTGAGGCTGGGAGAAGAGGGGGGAGGGGGTTCTCCCCAGCGACAGAGTAAGGAAGCCGCAAGGTCAGCAGGAGTCCGAATCTTCCAATCTCAAGGCCACTCCACTTTTGAAACTCGTGTCAAGGAAAAGAGAAAGATCACTAAGCAGATGCTGGGAAGGAACTGAAGCCACGAGGAGGTAAAGTCGATGGTGGCTTATGGGAAGGTAAGAGCGGCCTCTGGCAGTGGGGCTGCCCGTGGTGGGAACTCGGTTCAGGAAAAAGCTAGAAGGAAACATTCCGAGCACAGTCGTCTAGAACATCTAGAACGCTGTGACCATGGGCGGTGGCTTCTCCTGCTTCTTTCTACTTTTCTCTTTTCCCCTAATATTCAAAATAGAATCTGTTTCTTTTTAATAATGGTAAAAATAAGAGTAAACTCTTTTTACATTGTTTAAAGTTCTTTGGCCCACAGACATCCCCATTGTAATTCATCCTCTAAAACCAGGTGTCCAGCCCCTCTGAGAAGCCTAGCCTTCGGGGCTTCTCTGAGGTCACTGCCAGTGGGGGAGGGAGAGGGTTCACCAGGGGACCCCTTTTCTTCCACCTGAGGACCCTTTGTTCATCTGAGACCCTCTGCTGTTGAACCTCCTCCTTTACTTGTGAATTCACCCAGGGGACACATCATTCACCTGGGACCCCTCTCTCCTTAACTAGGAGTTCACGCGGGGTCCCCCTCCTTCACCAGGGGTCCTCACTCCTCTCTGGAAGACCCTCGCATCCTCCCGAGGGTAGGAGCCTCAGCAGACATCATTCTCCACATGTCTGAAGCTGCTCTTTCACAGCCCCCAGGTGCGAGCCGGGGCTGTGACCACCCGTCCCTGCAACCTGGAGTCACAGTTTCCAGTGCCTGGCCACCTGCAGACCACATTAACTCTGTGGCACCCAGGCTTGGATATGCTCCCCCTTCCCCGTGGCCATGACCCTCCCAGGCGTGGCCTGCTGGACGGTCTTGAAATCCCCCAAGTCTCCTCCAGTCCCCTTTCATGGAAACACTGACAACCGCGACAGAGCTCAGGCCCTAGGGAGGCAGAAGGCCACAAAGGAAATCAAATAAATGTTGCAATCTGGGCAGGATCTGGGAGTCTGCCCAAGGCTGCCCTCGAGTGGAATGGCAGCGCCCCTGCCCCATTGCCCTCTAACCAGAGATCAAGAGCCAGAGCTCTGTGGCCACGAGTGCGCAGGAGTGGAAAGCTGGATTGGGAACCACTGTCGCCGAGAGGAGGGCTCCCGTCCCATGTCCTGTACATAGCTGCCTGGGCAACTGGCAGCAGAATGTCTGGTCAGAGGCACTCTGGAGGGTCTCCATTCCCCTCTGTACAATAGAGGTCTCAGCCCCAGTGGGCAGCGTCAGGCTGCTGGGTCCCTCCCCAAGCCTCCCGGCTCTTGGCTCTCGGCCCTCGAAGATCCTCACCCTGGCCAGTGCCTCCTGTTGCTGGGGGCTCAGGTCCCCGACTCGGCCGCTCATGTTGCTTGTGGGAGCCAGGCTTTGCCGCTCAAACTGCTCCTGTGCGTCTAGTTTTGCCAGGCGGGTCAGACATGAGTCCCGCCCAGATGGGAGAGCCCCGCCCCGCCGGGTCTCGCCCCGCCCAGTCTCGCTGCTAGTTTCTCCTCCCCTCTGGGATTTTTGCCCCTGGCAGTCACGGTAGTCGTCCAGACGCACCTTACCCGTAGCAAGAAGGTGACTCGCCCCCAGAGGGGTCCCAGGCAGCCCCCAATCCCCCCAGGTGTCCTCATCCCAGGAGCCCCACATGGCAGTCAAGGCTGAAGGCATAAAGTACCCCCCGGGCACGTTTCAGGGAACAGCAAGACCCCCTTCCAGTAAAATGGAAGAACTTTCTATAAACGTGGTTCCTCTTTCTAGTTGGTCCCTGGAGCTTCCTTCCCAAGGGGCCCTACCCCCTTCCCCTAACCTTGAACACTGGCTGCACCTGGCCAGCGTTTCACTAGCTGATAGGAGAGCCCTTGGGTACAAAAGGGTTCCAGCTTTCAGGATGGTCTGGAGTGTTAGATAACATGGTGCGCCACGGTTTGTCCAGCGGGCACACCCAGCAAGTGCTGGCTAATAAAAATATTGTCTCACACTCACTGCTGCTGAGGCTGTGACCAGGGCAGTCAGATGCGCGGCGGTTGTCCGGGGTTGGCCCCCGTGTGAGCTCCTGGGTAGGAGCCCGAGCCTAAAGGCAGGAAGTGGGAGGTGGCAATGGACAGATGGAAGCCCAGGTGGGGTGATGGAGAGGGTGGGAGGCCAAAGGGTGGGAGCCCAGGATGGTATCTGAGACTGGGGAAGGTGAGAAAACTCAAGTCGGCTGGGCAGAAATCTCCACATAGTGGAGCCAGGGGTCAAGGTAAAGGGGGCAGGAAATCGGGCTACCAGCACCTTTGCCCTCTACCCTCCATTGGGGGTCAAACCAAATTTTAGGCCTTTGTTGACTGATTTGGTGGCCATGAGCCATGTGTGGCAGCTGAACTTCGGGCATATGGTTTGTCACTAGTGAAAACAGAGATGTACTATAAGGGTAAAATGCACACCAAATTCCAAAGACCTAATGAACAGTGTCAAAAAAGCTAAGTATCGCCTCAATTAATTTCTTATAATGATTACACGTGAAGTGATATTTTTGGATATATTGGGTTAATAAGATTAATTTCACCTGTTTCTTTTACTTTTGGTAGTTCAGAATTTGATGAATGAGCAAACTGTATTTTTCAGGGCAGTTTTAGAGTCACAACAAAATTGAGCAGAAAGCACAGAGAAGTCTCACAGACTCCCCGCCCCCACCCCCACACAGCCCGCCCCCTGGGGGACATCCCCCACCTGAGTGGTGCATTTGTCAGAACTGATGAACCTAGATCATTATCGTCCAAAGTGCATACTTTACATGAGGGAATCCCTCCTGCTGTCGTATGTTCTATGCGTTTGGACAATGTTTTAATGACATGCATTCACCGTTGTGGTATCGCACAGAATAATTCCACTGCCCTAAACATTTTTTCTCTGCCTATTCATTTTACTTTTTAAAAAAATGTGGCTCCCGAAACGTTTAACATCACACGTGTGGCTCCCAGTTTTAGCTTGCATTATATTTCATTTAGTGTTGTCCCAGATGGATTTTCGATCAAGAAAGAAAGATAGATAATAGGTAGATGTTACCAATGGCAAAAAGAAGGTAGAATGACACTTACCAGTTCTCTGGAAGGGCATGGTCTGCACTTAAAAGTAACGACAGCAATCACAATAGATTGATTGACTTGATTATATAAAAACACGAAAATCTTAAACAAGAAACATAATTAGGTTATAATTAAGTTAGCAGTTGCTGATGTGAATTTGGGAAAAATACAATGTACAAAAATTGATCTCTATAAAGACAGCATGCAAATTGGCAAGAAAAATAGTAAGGTGCTAAGAACTGGATAAAAGACTCAAAACACCAATTAGCTGAAGAGGAAATGCAAACAAGTGAATAAATGCTCAACCTGTAGGTCACCAAAGAAATGTGTACAAACAGAGATGTCTTGTCCCTGTACCAAGTCAGCAATAAAACAAAAGAAACATGTGCGTGCACACACACACACACACACACACACACACACACACCCTTTCTAAAGGTAGAAGTTGGTGAAACAGAAACATTCACACATTGCTGGCAGAACTGGAAACTGGTTCAGCTTTGCTAGAAGAATACACTTAACAATATGCGTTCGGATCTTTCCATTGTTTACCATGCTGCCCAATAACAACCCTAACTGACAGAATGTACGTTTTGCTTCAAGTCGTTGGTGCACTGTTAATAGGAACATCAGAAACGATTTTTCAGGAAACCACGGTGCTGACCGTGGTTGATGAGGAGTTTATAACGACATGGAAAAAATGCCACAAAATAATCTGGAAGCCATCGGACCACATTGTATATGCTTTTGGAAGGTAAAACCAAATCTACTCCTTGAAGAAGAGCCAGAAAAGAAAAGAAATTTGCTCCCAGTTTTCCCTCATCTCTGAGGAGTCGGAAAGTCGTATTTTGAAAATGCCACAGGTAGCAAGTCACCTCCAAAGAGAAGGCTTTATTTAACCAGCTCTTACAGGTGTCTTCTGCTGGCCAAGCCCTGTTCTGAAGGTTTTGTAAATATTAGCTCAGCTAATGGGAGCCACACAGGTAAGCTTAGTGGTTTTTTAAGTTTTATTTTTCAATTACAGCTGACACGCAATATTATTTGGTATTAGTTTCAGGTGTGCAGCATGGTGATTAGACAATCATATATTTTACAAATATATGATTTGTAAAATCATATACTGATTTTACAACTCCCCAATATTTCCAGTACCCACCTGGCCCTATATAGTTACCACACATTCTTGGCTGTATTTCTTATGCTGTACTTTATTTACACCCCTCTGACCATTTTGCAGCTGCCAACTTGTACTTCTTAATCCCTTCACCTTTTAAACCTAGTTCCCCAAGCCCCCTCCTCTCTGTCAACTCAGTCTGTTCTCTGTATCTGTGAGTCTGTTTCAGTTGTGAGTTTTCTTTTCCACACAGGTGACTTCAAATTATCTGGCACCTACATTTAAATTTCTTATTTTAATAATATACTTTATTTAACATAATGTATCCAAAATATTGTCATTTCAACACATAATCAATAGGACTGACTGGTGAGATAAATTAATGATCTCGTTAATAATGAGAGAGCTTGCTTTTTTGGGTACCACGTCTTTGAACTCCTGCATGCAGTCAACATAATAGCACATTTCAATTCCCACCAGCTGCATTTCGATCGCTCAGATAGCCACATGTGGTATTATGGACGGAATTGTGTCCCTTCAAAATAAAAGCATATATTGAATGTAACCTTACTTGAAAACAGGGCCGTTGCTGGACTTCCGTCAAGATGTAGGCATAAGTGAGAGAGACGCCGTGCTTTCTCACACAACCAAGTTTAGAGACAACAAAATATTAGCAACAGAAAACACAGCCAGAACACAAAAAAATTGAACTTTTCGGACGTCCGATAACAACGAATTCTTCAGCCTGACCGGTAAGAGGGGCGAAACCAGCAGCTGGCAGAGCGGGGTTTCACAGGAAAACTCGGTCAGACGGACTCAGGTGCGCGGATCCCAGGCGTGGGGTTGTAAAGGGCCAACCCACTAAGCGACCTAGTGAGCGCGACCCAGTGAGCGACCGGCGGATCAGGCGAGGGTGAAGGGCGGTGGGTTGACTGTGCTGGCTCATTCCTGCGCAGATAGACCGGGGAGGGAGTGGGCAGTGAGATGGGACCGAGCGGGTCCCAGCGAAGGGCAGCAGCAGAGACGGCCGCCCCCACATACAGCATCACAACCCAACGACCTGAGCGACCCTGTCCTGGTGAACATCTAAGGCTTCACTCCTCACCCAGCAGCAGGAAGCAGGAGAGGGGGACGCCATTTCCCCACTCTGACCCCCCACCACATACAGCATCACAACCCAGCAACCCCGCCCTGGAGGCCACACCCGCCCCTACGGCTCTGCTCCTCATACTTAATGGGCGCACACAGACCAAAAATGGCTGAAGAAGATCTCAAAGCCCCAGAGCCCATAAATCTAAGTGACGAAGAAATAGCTAAACTTTCAGATGCAAGGTTCAAAACACTGGTGATCAGGATGCTCACAGAACTGGTTGATTTTAGTCACAAATTAGAGGAACATACGAAGGCTAAACTAATTGAAATGAATGGCAATGCGCAGGAAACCAATAGTAATGGAAAGGAAACTGGGACTCAAATCAAAGGAGTGGACCAGAAGGAGGATAAAAATGACCAACCAGAAAAAAATGAAGAAACAAGAATTAAAAAAAATGAGAAGAGACTTAGGAACCTCCAGGACATCTTTAAACGCTCCAACATCTGAATTATAGGGGTATCAGAAGAGGGAAAGGAACAGCCACCAGTGGAAAATTTATTTGAACAAATAATAAAGGAGAATTTCCCCAATCTGGCAAAGGAAATAGACTTCCAGGAAATCCAGGAAGCTCAGAGAGTCCCAGAGAAGTTGGACCCAAGAAGAAACACACCAAGGCACATCATAATTACATTAGCCAAGATTAAAATGAAGGAGAGAATCCTAGAAGCAGCAAGAGATAAGGGGACAGTCACCTATAAAGGAGTTCCTATCAGACTGTCAGCTGATTTCTCAAATGAGACCTTACAGGCAAGAAGGGGCTGGAAAGAGGTATTCCAAGTCATGAAATCCAAAGACCTACAACCAAGATTACTCTATCCAGCAAAACTTTCATTTAGAATGGAAGGGCAGATAAAGTGCTTCTCAGATAAGATCAAATTCAAGGAGTTCATCATCACCAAGCCCTTATTATATGAAATGTTAAAGAGACTTATCTAAGAAAAAGAAGATAAAAAATATGAACAGTGAAAGGACAGCAAACGCACAGTTATTAACAACCACATCTAAAACAAAAGCAAGCTAAAAGGACAGCTAGATCAGGAGCAGAACCATAGAAATGAAGATCACATGGAGGATTAGCAACA